GATGGATGGATGGATGGATGAATGGATGGATGAATGGACGGACGGACGGACGGACGGACGGACGAACGGACGGACGAACGGACGGACGAACGGACGGACGGACGGACGGACGGACGGACGGACGGACGGACGGACGGACGGACGGACGGACGGACGGACGGATGGATAAATAAATAGATAGATAGATAGATAGATAGATAAATAGATAGATAGATAGATAGCAAGATAGATAGACAGGCAGGCAGACAGGTAGACCGGCAGACAGATAGACAGACAAACATACATGTCGGCAGACGAAACAGATATACAGACAAACAGGCAGAGAGACACTTAACTTTACCAGAATTCGATTTCATGACTCATCTGGTGTCCTAGTGAGTGCACGCCTTAAAAATGAATGTCTATCAACAGCTTAACGTAATAAGTTAGCTTCGTCCTTTCATTTCACCATGAAGATATAAGAGTCTCAGTTTAATACCTTTGAGCTACTTATGATCCTGTAGCATATATACGGCGATAACGATCGCAAGCACTCAAACTTACTACCCACCGTAATGATCATCGCGATCAATGGATCTATTCCCACTGGACGCAATACAGTGCCTATTGAAGAGCAGACATAAAGATGTTCGAATGCAGCTGGAGTGCGTCGCTGTCATTGTTAATAGACAGTTAGGAGGAGAACACTAGTGACTGCGGCATTCCTATAATGGATCATAGCTAGGCTAAAAGCATCGGGAAGGTGATGTGGCGCAATAGCACATAAGAAGCATTAAGGAGCAATATCCAATCTCGTTTAAATTATTCTGTTTAGCTGCTGGCGTCAGAAGTGTGTCGCCGAATAGTGACGATCGACGTAACACCGTCCCAGCAAGGCCATTTTGCAGCATGCATTTTCATCAAATAATCATCGAAAAGAGAAAGGAAAAAACGAACAAGGCGCTGTTGCGACAAATATTAGACCGCCGCGAATGTATTTTCATAATGCGTAAATATCCTGCCTAAACATGATGTGAAAATTGCGTAATCGCAAACGAAAAAAAGACCTGCGCATTAGCCTACGCACCGTCGCGCCAAACATTTCCACGTTCTCCATGTACTTGAAGATTAGATCGCTGATCGTATCGCCGATCGGCGTGCTATAGTCGAATTCCTGGATCTTTGCGATCGAG